TTCGGGGTCGCACTATACTCATTGTCGCTTATGAACTGACACACATATTAGCTCATATCTAAAGACTTTCTCTTCTTATGCGGGGGTCTAATGCATGGCAGGCTTCCATTCCACTATACCATTGTGTCTGAAGTGAAACACACCGGAACACAACTCAGTAATACTTTCTTCATGTACACCTCTATGGCATTAAATACATAGGCCACTACTCCCAAGCCAACACTGCGTTCTGTTGATTTTCACATCTGGTATAGCGGTAATCCGCCTTCAGTTGAAATTTTAGCGTAAAATAATAACTATGTTGGGAATGTCTTCTGCTAAGATCATTTCCGTACTCGCATATTTTCCTGTTCCCCCGAGGGTTAAAGTTTGGTTTACTGATCAGTTTGCGTTACATTCGGTAACAATCCACCCTTGTAATGGACCACTAACATTTTATAGGAAGAAAACGCTGTTATTTTTTTATTGATCGATATTCAGGAAACCTCTCTCTCATATTCTTGTTTTGTTGTTATTTTAGTAGTTCACGGCTTATTCACAGTAAATATTGATAATATTTATTATCTATATTCAGGCGCATTCATCTGAACCACAGAAGTAAAATTTTACAAAAAAAAACAAAAAAAACAAAACAAAAACAAACAAACTGCTCAAAATGTCCTCTGGAACAGCATCTCTTATCTAGACGATTAGTAATAGAAACAGCAATACAAGATAACAAACACAAATAAAAATAAATTGACTAATTTTCTGACAAAATTTCTGGGATCCTGACAGAAAGGATCACACTGGTATACATTTGAATTGTACTGTGACTTAGTAGAAGAATCAGTATCACCTAGAACTTCAGTACACCCACGCTAGTGTACACGTGTTCGCAACATAGATAACAAATTGTTCAGTGTACAATTTTAATGTATTTCTAGATTTGAACTGAATATTGCTGTTTATTGGTGTCAGTGCAAAACGTAAAATGGAACTTTAATTCCGCATATGAGGTTTTGATGAAAATTACAATAAAATAATAAATTGCGAAGACATAAAAATACACTAACATTACAGAAAAAAAAAACCAAGTATGACGCTCAAGTTTCTAGACAAAAAGCTGATTAATTTGTAATTTTTGAAGCAGCTGGTTTAAGTATTTCACTGTTAATTGAATGTATTAACGTATGGGAAACTATTGTTGAAATTACGCGGACAGTTGGAATGCTCCTTTTCAACCGTCGAATATAGGAGTGGCATCACGGAGTGTGCTGGTTTCCTTTTAGTAGGATTAGCGACTATTCCTTTTTAATTATACTCCCCGAATTAGTAAGTACTACTCCTACAAGCGAGTATGCTACAAAAGACGGCTGGGTTCCTACTTGTAAGTGGGGGAAACAAACATGCAGTCTTTTCAACAATAAACACGACAGCGATTCGACACGCGATCCCTTCCTGTTATCACGTCGTTATTGTTTATTTTTAAAAATAATAAAATTTCAAAACACTATTTCCCATAGCGATTAATGTCAATTGAATTAGCCTTTCTGTCCACCCATTCATACACTGCCTAAACTGGTGTAATTGAAACTTTTAACGGCAAATTTGTGAATGTTAAAGAGGGAAGCAGTGTCAGTATATGTCAACGCAATAAAATACATCAATGTCTCTGACAGACTGGAATAACAGATGTTGGCAAGGAATAGACACCCACTATATCAAATGATGTTTAACTATAATCCATCTACTTTAACAAATTACTTTCACAAATCACCATTGAAGAGGCTATAAAGAAACGATCATCACGTTACTTTGCAATCCGCAGTTTTGGGGTGTTTCATTGGTATCGACGCGATAGATTAGTAGGCCCGAATGCTGGAATGCCGGCCAGGGTATGTCCATGTGTAGTCACAAGGACCGCGGACACACCGAAACATCTGGCAATGTAATGTCTTCAACTAGGGAATGGGATATGGTCGTGGTACAGCAATCGAAACTACCCAAAGACGAGATCCGTCAGTGGCGGTGTATGATATGCAGGATGTTAGATCGGTATTTCACCGCCGCTTTATATCCACGACACTGATACTGACACGTTGGCTCTACTTGCGGCAAAGTGTATGGCCAGTCATATTAATCGCGGCAAGTGAATATATTACAACAGCGTGTCTTAGAGCTTGTCCATGTACTATCGCACCAACACAATACACGAATACATTCACAATATACAAACTGTAAGTTAGTTTCCAAAACAGCTTTGAGAAAATAAACAATCGATGGTTACACGCTACGTATCTTAACGAAATACTAACAAAAACAGAAATATAGTTACTTTACCTTTAAAACTGCTGATATATGCTGCTTTAGATTTGTTGTTTCCCAGTATATCGTCTATTGAATGATTAGCTGGGGTGTTGTTATTGCTATATACACTGTTGCTCTGCATCTCTTCCTATAATGATACTGAGGCCGACCAATTAACACGTCTAAATTAAAACCATCTATGTGGCTGTTGTTAATTTCAAGATCACGAGGGAACACGGACACGTTCTAGTTATTGGGAATCGACAGTCTTTCCAAGTGCCCGGATCGGATATAGGAACATTAATCTTAACACGTCTTAATTTACATATATGCAAATTTTAACCAATGGCGGTAGAAACCTGGTTCAAATCAAGTAATGCTAATAAAATTAGTTTTCTTTTATGTGTACCGCTTTGCTTGTCTATAGCATGACTACTGCGCGATAACCCACTGTGGCATGCATGCACTTTAAATTGGATAGGGTGTATTTTTAGTCACAACGGTACATGTGATACAGTATAGTTTCGTGGCAAGCGTTCGAGAAATTTCACCAATCACACACCATCTCTCAAGTGGTATGAACACACTGGGACTTTTTTTTTGATAAATCCAACATGTTCGAATGTTGTGTTGTCTTTTGCCGATTCATTTAAAGCGAACATTGTTAATGCTCACGGGCAGATATACCTAGTAATCTAAATGAAATATTGCTCCTCCAAAGCAATCGTTTTACGTGTGATGCTGCGTTCAATTTCAAGCTTGTCAACTGCTGTCCTACAGCTGGGAACACTTCGTTAACCCCAACTGTGCGCGAAGTCTATCACCGATCCTCTGTTCTCGCAACATTTGCCGCCTTGGTTAAAATCAGTTGTTTTGATAGCGTGGTCTATCGGTGTTCCCCCATATGACTCAATTAATTAAAAGAAATGAGACTGATAACAAATGTTTTCCAAGTTAGAGCCGATAGCTGTCCCACTCGCGCGGAGGAATGTTAATCGAGCGGCAAATAGCTGTAAGATTCAGAGTCCTTTTGCTGTTTTTGTTCCACCTAATTGAATTTATTAAGTAGTTAAGAAGTCAGCTTCATGCCTGCTATTTTGTTAATCCCGTCAATTATATATTCAATGTCAGTAGAGCCTGCCCTACTGTGACTGGTCCTTACCCCATGCAAACTAAATCCAATCACACAACGCAATAGGACGCCTACCAAAACACTATAACATATGTGCACACACATTCTCTTAAGATAACCCAAACTCTTAGTTGTCAAAAACATGTAGGGACACTATTTACGGTAACCGCTTCATAGATAGGAAGTTTGTCAGATTTAATTTCCGAGTGAAACAAATACCTTTGTGGAAAGAAAGCGCTGCGTTTCAAGTCTATCGTGATGATGATATACTAAGCCGTGTAAAGCTGAAAGTACGGAGGGTGGGTGTGGTTGAAGACCGAGGGATGGAATCTTTATAATCATATTTACGGAGTGGTCTATAATTATGTGTTCACGCTCCGAGCGTTTGAATTAACCTGTGTCACCCTGTTTAATTTTCGACGAGTGTACGTAAATCAACACGCTAACATTAGCACTCAGGTTTTTAAAGCATATACAATTTATTCACGGCGAAGGAACGAGGAACGATTTTATTCCCGGGGCCCATAAAATAATAGAATGCGAGTAGAACAATTGTTTTTCATGAAAAACGTATCAGTTACATACAATATTACGACTGAGTAAATATATTTAAAGGACCCCGTTGTTAACACGGAAATACACTGTTACTGCTACAACACACATATCAACTGAAGATGCACAAATGGTATACTTGGATACGGAATACTTTTCTTTAATTTTTAAATTACATTTGTGTCAACCGAGTAGTACTTTTTAATATTATAGTAAAATCCGCCATTTTTCCACAGTACTTTGAACACAGTATGCCATTGTGAAAATTAGATATTAACCTTACTCTCATCCATAAAAAACTTTAATGACAATATGAATTACTTGAAGTATTTTGTTCAGCACTGGATCAAGATTTGTTGTTTTGTAGCACCTACACACCGTAGAATCCGGTCCGATGAAATAACAAATCACGCTAATACACATGCGCTTTGAATTAATAGTACGCACCTAAAATTAAAGCGCATGTGCATTTGTGTTGTTAATCCAAATACCCTATTTTTTGCGTGCACAAAATTTAAAAAAGTTCATAATTTACGCTATATATTATAATACAATGTGCTTATGAATCACATAAAATATGAAAAATAGGTATTACTGACCTTTTCTCGTATCCTCATTTCGCAAACGTAAATTGATTCTAAAGACGAAATATCATATGTTGCGCAACAACAAGTTGTAAAGGTTAGGTCTACGAATAAGTTTTTGTAATAAGATGTGCTCCCAAGTGGTGTCATTTTAAAGGTGTTATTATTTCGTGAAATTGTCAATTTTTGAAGTGTCACCAAATATTATACTTTTTGGGCCGGGAATCGCATGATTTAAATCCAGTGCAGCTATACAGTACACAGCAAACAATGTTGTCGTTCATCTTGACTGTTGGTTATTTGCTGTAACCAGTAAAACTAGTCTGCCAATAACTATGTTTCTGAACTACCTTCCATTGCCGTCAAGTTCATAATTTGGCAAAGTGTTGTAAGCAAATCTGAGACGCAGACAACGTGACACATTCAGATAAAAACGCAAGTGACGACTGTTCTTTTCTTATTAGGCCCAAGTGTATGAGTTTTGATACGATTTCGTATTTTCTAGTTGTATTGGACCTGCTCCCAGCCATTTGCTTTGAAATAATATGGCAGTATTTTTACTGTTCAAAACTTTGTTAATTTGTCTGCAGCGATAAGGGTTGAAAATAAACTCATTGATGTGGAAGTCACGTTAACGAAATTTTTGTCGAATATGTTCGGAAATTAATAACACGTTTAGAAAAAATAGCATGTATTAGGGATTTTTTGTGGGAAACTTTCCAATTTAGATCGCACAAAACTCCGATAGTTTCTAGTGAGAGCAACACCACTTATATGACAGACTGTTTCGAACTCGATTGTATTGTGATGCGATGTGTTCGTGCTGGAGTATTTTATTCACCTTTCTTGTGATGCGATGTGTCCGTGCTCCAGTATTTTATTCGCCTTCTTTGTGATGCAATGTGTCCGTGCCACAGCATGTTATTCGCCTTCTTTGTGATGTGGTAACATTTTGGTAAAATCACAGTACATATACAACCAATCTTTAGAATGTTGACGTCACCAAAACTCGATGATAAGAAAGTCAGGTTGGAAACATTCTATGTGTTAACTCGCATACCAGTACATCAGGGATACATCTAAAACAAACTTTCACCGCTTTCCCAATAACGAACTGACAAGTTCAACAATAAACAATACAAGGATGAAATAATCATCGCCCAATATCATCATATCATTAATGGAAGACAAATAAAATAAACAAACACGTTTGAAATTAAGAAAAGAGTGTATCTTATATATCTATTCGTACAATAACATCACATGAAGACGTTTTAAGATGATATGAGCATTATAATAAAGTTACAATAATTACAGATTGCCTACGCACGTCTTCCTATCGCCACCTTAATAGATAAACAAATTATGTAATGTACATCACAATACGATGACCTATGCTAGATATCTGATTCATCCAACAACCAATTTAAATTACAACACCCCGTGATATCGAGATTTGACCTTTGACCCAATTCTGTCAATTCCCAATCGTTGCCTATCTGAACGATGCGCTGAATGTTAAACTCTGTTTGAACACATCGCCTGCTGTTATTTTCAAATCATACTGACTGAATATTTCCTTTCCGATTTAAGTATTCCTCCGGTAGTGACTGTTCAAAGCGGAGAATCCATACGACCCGTTAATGAATAACGATTAGAATATGCCACGAGGACATAATATTTGTCACCTTAAATATGAAATGTTACATGATACCCGGCTACAACAATAATATAGTTGACAGTATTGACCTATGACCCATGGTTGCCTTGACTAGAATAGTATATTACAAGGGTGACATTTCTCCTCACACATGGTTACCCAATGTGTGACCGCCAACACTGAGCAGACGTTTTTTCATTAAAAATTAATTTGAGGTATTCATTCAATAGCCAGTACAATTAAATGAACAGCTTCCCTCGCCTCGTGTGGAATGATTACGGTACACGAAAGACTCCGTCACCAGTGTATAAAAGCGGCGTATACATTTCATATGCCAAAATCATATGATATAGCCATGACAACCTTGATTTAATTTTGTTTCTTGTAAATATGTTCAGCGAGGTTATCTGATGTCGAATTGTGCATGTAATTTGAAGCATCAAAGAAACGGGATTTTGAAAGTTTACTTTATGTGCAACACCATGCTCAAATCAGGGTAGAAATCTGTCCACGAAAATCAAACGTAGTATAGCAAATTTAAGATATAAAACAATTTATATGCATCTTAATCGCTTCATGTTGACAAGGATTTTAGTAGATTACTAGATTCCAGAAAAATGAAATTATTCGCATTAAATGCCAGTGACAGCATATTAATTGAATTTCTTTAAATTAAATATTGTTTTAGGGTTAACTTGTAACTTAGTTGAATTTAGTTGAAATGTTTTTTCTTCAACCTTATTTGGCGATTATTTTCACGTTGATATAGGGGAAGTTATGGGAAAAGTGAGACAGCTTGCCTCGTTGAAGGCTCGCCCAGTTTTTGAAATACTGCATTTCAGAATTCTACTACGAGGTCAAAATATCGACATTTCGGTCGCAGGATATCGATTGTCCGTCATGATGGACGAGGACTGAATTGTGGTTGACGAACAGCGCCATCTTATGTTCTCAGTTTGACCCATTGTGAAGATACTTTCGTTTTAACACATTTCTGCAAGTGCGTCATGAAACATATGTTAACTCTACTATTAAAACTGAAGATGCAATAATCGTTGGTCAAAAATAACTAATAACATTGTTTGAAGTGGATAATGAACTTACATGTTGATACCGGCAACATTGCATGATACTGTCAACAGTGTATGATACTTTCAACATAGTATTATACTGTCAACATACTATGATACCGGCAACATGCATGACACTGTCAACAGTGTATGATACTTTCAACATAGTATTATACTGTCAACATACTATGATACCGGCAACATTGCATGACACTGTCAACAGTGTATGATACTTACA